AGGGATTTAAGGCCTATTTAAACCCAGCAAACCCCTTGCTTACCTGTCTTTGTCGATTCGGGAAATTCCGCCTTCATTTCCGCTCCACGCAGACCTCTGACGTCGGCACTCAGCCAAGACAGTCCAGTACGACATCCAGCTACAGCTCCTGGACTGTTCCAAAAATCACAGCCGAACTGAATAGAAGAAACATTCCCTTTCCAGCTACAGCCAGGAAAGCCGAACTCTTTCGTTTACTAAACACCCAAAACATTGATGAGTTACCGGGCCCTAGTTCTGATTGTACAATACAAAACAGTTTGGCAGAACTACGGAGTATGATGACCTCTCTGGTAGCTTCTGTAGCTACTATAAACAACAGGTTAGATAACCTGGAAGCCACTAGTCAAACTAGCATTCCGGAAGTACAAATTCCACTTGGACAACCCAAAACAAGCTCAGGCGGTAACTCCACTCCTATTCCTGCCAAAACAACTAATGTTATTAACCCAGTGCATTTGATTCCACAAAATCTAAAACGGGACATACTAAAGGGAAAGATATTAATCTAGCTTCCCTCCTCATTTCCTCACAGGATATAATCGAAAACAGAGCTTATACTTTCGACGATATATCCGTGGTAATGAAAGCTAGAGACCCTAGGCTCAATAAGAAGCTGAATATTCCTGAATTCGTGGTAGCTTTTGTATTATATAGGGATGTAATTTGCTCTTCTTTCCCACACCGTAGAGAAGAGCTGGATCTATATCTGCACAAGCTGGTGGAATTAGCTGACAAATATGGTGGTTACGCGTTCTACGACTACCATAAGTCCTTTTCGGCCAGGTCAACCGTGTCACTGGCTCAGTACAACACTCCTACTGATTAGAGTCAACTGGACACAGAATTGTTCTCTAGACATTTCGCGGGGCTTAAAACACCAGCATGTGCAATATGTTCTTCAGCGTCTCATACAGCAAACTTTTGTCCTAGTAAAATAGATCGTCCGTCTACTAGTAACGCCAATCCAGCCTATTTTGCTAATCAGAGGGAATTGAAAGACAAGTTAGGGAGGCCTATAGTGTTTCTTGGGAAAGCACAAGTTTGTAATAACTTTAACGCGGGGGGATGTAGTTACAGCGCTTGTAGATTACTCCACGTTTGCTCAATTTGTTTCAGAGCACATGCAAAAACTATGTGTCCAAACAAACGTACCCAATTTACAACGTTACTTGACTGAACATCCTTCTTCACAGCTGGCTGACTTTCTTATCTCTGGTTTCACTAGAGGCTTTCACTCAGGTTTAGTAGCACTCCCTTCAGGCATACTAGAATGCCCCAACCTACAGTCTGCAATAACAGACCCAGCCAGTTTAAAAGATCTTCTCAACAAAGAAGTAGAATATGGTTTTATCATAGGACCCTTCACCACGCCACCTTTCACTTCCTGGAGAACAAGTCCACTAGGTATAGCTACGGGCAAACCAAAAAGAGGTTAATAATCGACTTCTCAGCACCTCACTCTTCCACCTCCCCAAGTTTAAATTCCCTTATACCCTCAGAAGACTTCTCACTACAATATGCAAAAATAGACAATACCATACTAGCTGTCGTCAACTTTGGTAAGGCAGCCTGGTTGAGCAAAACGGATATCACAAATGCTTTCAAACTTCTACCAGTTAAGCAGTCACTCTGGCATCTACATGGCGTTAAGTGGGAAGAGAAGTACTATTTTGCAACTAGGCTGACCTTCGGCTCCAAAAGTAGCCCAAATATTTTCGACATATTCGCAGAAACCTTGAATTGGCTACTACTTAACAAGTCCAGGTGCCCAGTAGTAATCCACTACCTAGATGATTTTCTATATGTTGAGCCTCACTACTACACACCACGCAGTCTAAAAAGTGCACTCTCCCTATTTAAGGAATTAGGAGTCCCGGTAGCTCCAAATAAAACAGAAGGTCCCAGTACAGAAATAACTTTCCTAGGCATCTCAATTGTGTAACTATGCAAGCTAGCCTCCATCAAGTAAAAGTAGACAGGATTCTAATTCACATTCACATCTGCACCAATCACGGGTCATGCACCAGGAAAGAGTATAATTTGGATAATTTGATAATAAATCAGCAAATTAGAAATCCAGAACTGCCTCTGTTGGCCCTACAAGGAAAGCCACTTACTACTAAACAGTTCATGCTATACATACGTTCTTTCTTACTTAGACTTGGCCTCGATCCAAATTCCTTCTCAGGACACTCATTCCGTATTGGGGCTGCCACTACAGCCTCAAGTATTCAGGTTCCAACACATATCATAAAGGAAATGGGTCGCTGGAAGTCTTCAGCATACAATCGGTACATTCCAAACCCAGAGAAAGAAATCAGACTCGCTTTCTATAATATGTCTAAATAATGTTGTTGTTGTTGTAATATATAAACATGTTAGAGGGACAAAGGTTTAAAAATAATATCAGGCAGTATTACTTTACTGAGAGGGTAGTGGATGCATGGAATAGCCTTCCAGCTGAAGTGGTAGAGGTTAACACAGTGAAGGAGTTTAAGCATGCGTGGGATAGGCATAAGGCTATCCTAACTATAAGATAAGACTAGGGACTAATGAAAGTATTTAGAAAATTGGGCAGACTAGATGGGCCGAATGGTTCTTATCTGCCGTCACATTCTATGTTTCTATGTTTCTATGTTTACATACTTTTGGCCCTCTTTTTACAGGCCTAACCTCTCGTCGGTTTCGGCACACCTCAAACGACTCTTATTTATCAAAACTACACTCACTTTAAGTGTACGCCCCCTTTCATAATCCCGTACACAAGATGGGCTAGATGGGCCGAATGGTTCTTATCTGCCGTCACAGTCTATGTTTCTATGTAAATAGAAGTCATATGCCTGAAGTTGTGGGAAGGATTTAAGGCCTATATAAACCCAGCAAACCCCTTGCTTACCTGTCTTCGTCGATTCCGGAAATTCCCCTCCCACCTTATTTATCAAAACTACACTCACTTTAAGTGTACGCCCCCTTTCATAATCCTGTACACAGATATATTATACAACACAAGTGGAACTGCGTAAAGGATATCTAAATGTTTTCAGTGCACAAAAAGCTGAGACCCAAATAGCTAAGGTAGTAAATCACATAAAATTTCTTTATAACTGCCACAATACAAAAGACACAAAGACGCAGAAAAAAGAATTATAATAAGCATGTAAGATCAAATATAAAACCTGAAACATAATATGTGTTCACTGCGAGTGATACAAAAAAGCAAAATGCCTTCATGCATAATACGTTACTAAGTTAGGTTGAGAAAACTATTGTTTATGCTGTGTGAGAAAGCATCTCATGCCTTGCTTTTGTGAATTTGGAAGCGTCATGAACATGACACTTTATACCCCACTCAAACACTTTAAATAACGCATTATTACACCTGCCTGAGCCAATCAGAGTGTTGCAGAATCTTCGTGCTGTGAGCTAAGCGACAAGAAGTAGAAAGCTTAAGAGGGAAGCATAATCAAGTATTGTGATTGCAAATACATTTTTTTGTAGTTTTAAGTCAAATAATTATTCACTGTATGTTTGTTCTTCTCCGTGCTATAATCAGTCACCCCTACAGGTTTTGGCAGTTTAATGAATGCATGCTAAATATACCTAATTCAGAATTTTCAAAACTCAATCTTAAATAAAAATACGTTCTCATTTAATTTTTTATTTTTTTTTACAAGTGTATTCAAACATATTTTATTAATAGAGAGATATTGTATAAATCAACATGCTTAAGGAGCTATCTGAACTGTTTCCATTTGAAGAATAAAGTGTACAATTGGGGGCTCAGGAGGGGGGAATGTTTTGGTTTTTTTTAACAGTGAGCAGCCACAGGCTGCACACTGTTTAATAGACACACCCCTACTCGCGGTATAGCGAGTAGGGGCATAATTTACTAATACTAAGTGACCAGCTTCTATAGAGGCTGGGTCACTTGCTGCACTGGCCAATTACAGCCATGCCATTAGTAGGCATGACTGTGATGGCTTCTAACGGCTGCCCTGCGGCCTTTCAAAACGCGTCATTAAATCGACGAACTCCGAACTCCAACCCGAACATACAGTGATATGTCCGTGTTCGGGTCCGGGGTCCAAAAAACCTAATGTTCGGTACGAACCCAAACTTTTCAGTTCGGGTTTGCTCAACTCTACTGCTGAGAAATAAAAGTGCTGGTTGTTAACTATAAATGTGGAGGCGGGCATAAATAGCATTAGTATAGTTGAACAGCTGTGTTAGAGGTGTGTGTTTTTTTTCGGGGTGAAGCTATTGATATTTGGCACATCCAGGGTATCAGGGACCTATATATAAGTAATTACCATATGATAACGACATCTAACCAAGAGAGACACGGTTTGAGAGTAAGTATGTGAGAGCCTATTGCTCTATTGCAGCTTGTAACAGGTGCACTATGGCATGAGAAATTATCTAGGAGCTGTTAGTGTGCCCAGCTAGTTTACTAAAGAGTAACAAATACTAAACTTATGGCACATAACAAAATGCTTGCGTTGATAAAGTGTCCCCTGTTATTTTCTGCCCCTGGGGACAAAATATGCTATCCTCTCTGGGTTCCAGGAGTGCAGGGTTGTAGGTTTCTCAGGTTGTGAGGAGATCCCCTGCTCTTGGAGGAAGGATTCAGCTTTGTTTATTGAGGAAAGTCTTAATTTTGAACCTTCATTGTTCACTGTCAAGGCTCTGGGAAATTTCCATCTATAGTCAATGCCTGCTTCTCTTAGTTGAGTTGTCACAGGGCCCAAGGATCGGCACCATACCAACTTGTTCCATGTCAGGTCTTGATAAAAGGAAAGTTGGGATGACTTGAAAGCCAACTGAGTTTTTTCCCAGACAGCAGCCATTATTCAATTCTTGTCCGATAGGGATTGGCATTGGATGATGACATCTTGGGAGGTCGTGGATGGTGCTTGCTTAGGCAATTTGATTCAAAAGAATCCATGGAATATTATCTTTTACGCCTGAGCATGCGGTAAGAACGTGTTAATGAGGTGACATCGATAGTGTGGCAATCCGGTGGTGCCTTTAGAGTCAGGAATGCCCTGAATTTTAACATTGGTGTGTCTTTTCTGATCTTCTGACATGTCAACTCTCATTGTTAGGGTAGAGTGGAAGTATAGCATTTGGTGGACAGTCTCTTTCAAACCTTGTGCCTCCTGTCTCAGGTCCAATATTTCCTCCTCCAAGGCCTGTATGCGTGTGGTTACCACCCACACTTCGGTTATTATTAGGTCAAGGTCCGTGGCATGCATTTTCCACATCTCTTGTAGAAGATCAGCTATGTCTTGCTTGGTGGCTGGGGTTAACTTGTCTTGGCTCACCAGTTTTGTTGAAAGAGGCTGTGGCATGTGGGGGTCTGCCAGTTCTTCCATGGTATATTCGGAACCGTTCAGGCAATATTAGCAATCCGGTGAGGCCACCATTTTGGAGGCTGCAGGCTGCTGTAGTATGGTGCTGATGTCTTGGGTTGTTTGCACCCGGTTGGGGCCTCTGGGATATTCTGCCCATATTGTCAGTGTCCTGTATGGGGAGTCTGTGCAGAGGTTGTTGTAATCCCTGTGTGTCGGCAGTCAACGCTAATAGTTCTGATGTGGGCCTTGCAATAAGGAACTCGAGCTATGCCCCGGATCTCTGTTGGGTTTTCTTGCCTGATTGCGAGAACAGGAATGGCATCGGAGTGTAGCACACACCAAAGGGGTAGTAAGGTGAGTGTTTTCTCACGTTAATGGCGCTGTGGGACTACAGATTAGTGCATATTGCATATTGTTTGCCAAGTATCAGGAGCTCCAAGGAATGCCATCCATTCAGTTCAGAAGCTTAGCACCGCCGCAGAAGTTGTAAAACATTTTTTTGACACCTTAAATAGCTGACATTTAGTTAGCTATTAATTCTGCTAAAATATTTGAAAAAATCTTTCTAGTTTTTTTAATTTTCATCTACATGATTTATGGATAAAGCCAAGCAAACTATGTACATTTGTTAAAGGGGCACTGTAAGATCTATAACCATTTCATCTCACTGAATTGGTAATAGTGCCTGGAGTCCCTTGCCGCTATCTCTCCATTCAATGATAAACCAATTTCGAGATGTTTAGCACTGAATCATGGTCTCTGACAAAAGGGAGTCAGTTTCTGGGGACTCTCATTTAGAAACCATTAACCATTAATGGAACACTGTAGGGGACACTGTAAACACTCTAATTAGATGAAACATTTACAACACCTTCAGTGTCCCTTTACCTCTTGTAGAGGTGTACACAATGCACATGTGTGTGTATAGCACTGCTGGAGGAATGTTGATTACACAGGTGTGCACATCATTTTTTATTAGATGCAAGTGGGTACATCCACTACAGCTCTCATATCCATACCATTCAGTCCCCATAACCCATTGCAGCCCTGATCCCTACTCTGTGCCCACTAAAGCCCCATCCCTCCCCTCTACAACTAAAACCACTAATACCTCCTAAAACATCATACAGTCTCTACAGGGAGTGCAGAATTATTAGGCAAATGAGTATTTTGACCACATCATCCTCTTTATGCATGTTGTCTTACTCCAAGCTGTATAGGCTCGAAAGCCTACTACCAATTAAGCATATTAGGTGATGTGCATCTCTGTAATGAGAAGGGGTGTGGTCTAATGACATCAACACCCTATATCAGGTGTGCATAATTATTAGGCAACTTCCTTTCCTTTGGCAAAATGGGTCAAAAGAAGGACTTGACAGGCTCAGAAAAGTCAAAAATAGTGAGATATCTTGCAGAGGGATGCAGCACTCTTAAAATTGCAAAGCTTCTGAAGCGTGATCATCGAACAATCAAGCGTTTCATTCAAAATAGTCAACAGGGTCGCAAGAAGCGTGTGGAAAAACCAAGGCGCAAAATAACTGCCCATGAACTGAGAAAAGTCAAGCGTGCAGCTGCCACGATGCCACTTGCCACCAGTTTGGCCATATTTCAGAGCTGCAACATCACTGGAGTGCCCAAAATCACAAGGTGTGCAATACTCAGAGACATGGCCAAGGTAAGAAAGGCTGAAAGACGACCACCACTGAACAAGACACACAAGCTGAAACGTCAGGACTGGGCCAAGAAATATCTCAAGACTGATTTTTCTAAGGTTTTATGGACTGATGAAATGAGAGTGAGTCTTGATGGGCCAGATGGATGGGCCCGTGGCTGGATTGGTAAAGGGCAGAGAGCTCCAGTCCGACTGAGACGCCAGCAAGGTGGAGGTGGAGTACTGGTTTGGGCTGGTATCATCAAAGATGAGCTTGTGGGGCCTTTTCGGGTTGAGGATGGAGCCAAGCTCAACTCCCAGTCCTACTGCCAGTTCCTGGAAGACACCTTCTTCAAGCAGTGGTACAGGAAGAAGTCTGCATCCTTCAAGAAAAACATGATTTTCATGCAGGACAATGCTCCATCACACGCGTCCAAGTACTCCACAGCGTGGCTGGCAAGAAAGGGTATAAAAGAAGAAAATCTAATGACATGGCCTCCTTGTTCACCTGATCTGAACCCCATTGAGAACCTGTGGTCCATCATCAAATGTGAGATTTACAAGGAGGGAAAACAGTACACCTCTCTGAACAGTGTCTGGGAGGCTGTGGTTGCTGCTGCACGCAATGTTGATGGTGAACAGATCAAAACACTGACAGAATCCATGGATGGCAGGCTTTTGAGTGTCCTTGCAAAGAAAGGTGGCTATATTGGTCACTGATTTGTTTTTGTTTTGTTTTTGAATGTCAGAAATGTATATTTGTGAATGTTGAGATGTTATATTGGTTTCACTGGTAATAATAAATAATTGAAATGGGTATATATTTGTTTTTTGTTAAGTTGCCTAATAATTATGCACAGTAATAGTCACCTGCACACACAGATATCCCCCTAACATAGCTAAAACTAAAAACAAACTAAAAACTACTTCCAAAAATATTCAGCTTTGATATTAATGAGTTTTTTGGGTTCATTGAGAACATGGTTGTTGTTCAATAATAAAATTAATCCTCAAAAATACAACTTGCCTAATAATTCTGCACTCCCTGTATTACCACCTGAAACCCTCTTCAGTCTCTAACCCTCCCCTGCATCGACAGGAGCCCCTATCACTCCTCTGCACTCAATACAGCCCCTAAAACCTATTACAAACACATTACAGGCAACATCCCTCCCGTGCATTCCACTACAGCCCCTATCCCTTCCCTGCACCCACATAGCCCCTATCCTTCCTCTGCACCCACTACAGCCCCTATCCCAACCCTGCACCTACTACAGCCCCTATCCCAACCCTGCACCCACATAGCCCCTCTCCCTCCCCTGCACCCACGTACCCCCTATTCCTCCTAACTACAGCATCTATCCCCTCAGCGACTACTAATAATATAATTTAATGGTGAAAATTACTAGTGCCTCCCAGTTTTGTTCCACCTCTGTGTACTATTCCTAGGGTTGCCACTGCAAGGAATACAGTAAGATGAAAGTAATTTCTCTATTTGTGAGGAGTTTTCATGTTTGAGCTCACCACAATTTTTTAGGTACATATATCACTATAAATACCTATACCCATGGTTTAAAAGATGTTTTGCATGCCAATGAAATCCCGATTTAGCAGTTGTGTCCAAACCATATGCATAATGTGAGTAATCACTTTTCTGAAGTTTTTTCTCAGACCCAGATAATTAAAGCATAAAAATAAAGAGGATCAGGAACAGCCAAAATATAAAATCCATATGGTTTATTCACCCCTTAGGGCTATTAAATTTATAGTATAACAGAAACGTGCAATCTAGTAGATCAAACCTCAAGCTTGACAGCCACCATGGCACTTTGATTTAAGCATGACTACACGTTTCATATATTGGTATTTTAATAGCCCTAAGGGGTGAATAATTTGTATGGCTTTTATATTTCAGGCTTTTCCTATTCTGATTATAAGTGTCAACATTCACACTCAGAGCCAGCTATCTGTCTGGAAAGGTGATAAATGGGGGTATTATCTATGTAAGTAAGACAAAATATAGGTTCCAGTACATAGATAATCAGTCAGAGAGATACAGCATCAGCAGGAATTGAACTCCTGAAGCTTAAATTCCTTGTTTTACACCTAAGGACAAAGCAATTTTATATGTTTTGCTATGTGTGTGTTCAACTGCAATTTTCATTTTTATCTTAGACTGGAAGAAAGGAGATTTAGTCTAAGGCAAAAGATAGTGTTATTTCTTTACAGTAAGGACAATAATGATGTGAAATCCTCTGCCTGAAAAGGTGGTTTTATCACAGTCTGAAGATTTCTTTAAACAGCAACTGAACAAATACTTACAAAAATAATATATTGAGGGATATCATTTCTAATATGTGTGGTAACAGCTTCTTGATCAAAGGAATGATTTGACGGTTATTCTGTGATAAGAAGGAATATTTTCCTAGTTTGTTGGAAAATTGGAAAGCACTTTAAGCTGGGTGTTTTGCCTTCTTTTCGATCAACTTGATGGATGCAAGTGTTTTTTCAGCCTATTTAACTATGTATTGCACAGCATGTATTATGTGTAATTTTATAAAGCAGAAATTAGATTTTAATTTGATGTGACATATACATAAAATCTCATTTAAATAGAAACAAAATCACGTTTTTTAAGTTGTTGCAATAATAATGTGTGCATAACTGGTGCAGCTTATAAGCAAGTCATTTAAAATAAATGTCTTTATATAAATAAAAAAGTTGAGAGCAAAAGAAATACTTAGACTAATTATTAAATGTATTTATTTATCATGATTTACAGAGTACATTATACGTCTAGAATTTTAGTTTATTTTTGTTAGTTACAGGTCACAAAATACAAGGCGTAAAATACAGTTTTAAGGTGAGACAATTTTAGAATTTGGTATGTTTATCTAGTTTAATAGCCAAAAATTCCCACGCAAAAGTTTCAATTTATATAATGTGAACATCACAGACTATTTACCCAAGGATATTAAGACATTTTGTATGCAGTCATTTAACTGCCAATTTCTACTAAATATTGTGGTCAAACTTTTTTTTTTTGTTTTTGCCTTTGTTTGGATCAACAGCATAAAAAAATGGGTTTTAAAGTTGAACTTGATGAACCTTAGTATTGTTATGTTGCATATTGCAAGCCCAAGCATTGCTTTAATACACTGTGAATACTGAGGTATTGTAGAGTCCAGCTGCCCATTACTGTACAGTTGGATTACTTGAAATCAATTTCATAAAAACTAGAGGTATCGCACACATAGCGTCCCTGCACCATAAACACTATAATGTAGCAGTATTGTGCTTATAGTAACCCTTTAACAATTAGACATTAACCTTGTGTTAACAAAATCCCATCAAACTGGTCTCAATGTTTACAGCATTTAGCCACACTGTGTATACAAAATATATTTTGAAATAATACTTGCCTTTGTAGTATTTTGCCTTTGAGCTGTTAGGACTTAAAGCAGGACCTACCCAGAAGGGTTGCCTTAATTGTGGCAGGTAAGTTTGCACTTTCAGCTGCTTATAGGTCTCATCATTACTACACTGCTGCTATCTGAACAAATAACATTAGGAAGGGCATTATTTGGTTTAGCATTAAGAGGGATATACAAAAACAAAATTAATTAATTGTAATTAAATCAAGCTGTGAAAAGGTCTCGTGAGTAATGAGAGAATACAAATTGTGCCTTGATTCTATTAAGTTGGAAACACTTGAAGGCTATTTTGTTTGTATCCTTTAACCCCTTAGTGACCTCGGTACATCTGACAAAAACTGGTTGTTAACGATCTCGAATGTACCTGATATGTCCGTGGCGAATTAGAGTGCTGGAAGCGATCATGATCGCTTCCAGCTTCTCTGATGGTATTGCAGCGATACCTCAATGTTGAGGGATCCTGCAATACCCTCCCTCACTGCCGGGCGCCAGGTGATCGCTTCCGGGTTGCTCCACATAGCGCCCGGCAGGGAGACAGAGCATTGGTCGAGGCACTTAGTGAATAATTAAATAATTAAATAATTATTAAAAAAAACTAACTAAATAAATAATTTTAAAAAATTAACCTCTTCCTTCCTGCTGTGGACAAAAATATTAACTCAATTTATGTTAGTAAAATGCCTATTTACTCAGCATACCTACAATCAGCATTATTCAACTTTATATGTGATTTACCTAAAATGGCCGCTAGGGAGTTCCCCTTTGACATCGACTAACACCCTCACTAACAAGATGGCGCTGGAATCTGGGGGAGACCTCCAAGATATCAGTGACATCACACACGGTAGGAAGAGCAATAAATGAACCACTTAACACCTAACCAATTATTGATGTATTATTTCATGTTATCTCTGACAAAGCATATGATGTAATTTTGCTTTATAAGGGACATGCCGTCCCCTCAGAATAAACATTCCTCAAGTTTTTCATTAACCCGAAACCTGTGTCTGGTGTGAATTACTTTAGGAGCGTGCACGCACTGCTTTAATTTGGCCGGGGGCAGATACACAAGATAATCAATTAATTGATTGATTCCACATCACTTCCCTCTCCCTCCTTCCCTCCCGCCCACCCTCTCCCTCCCTTTTATAGTGTTTTTGAAAGTTACAGGGTCAAATATAAGACTTGATTTTTCCAATTTGCTAGACTGGTTATGTTGCCTTTGAGAGCGTATGGTAGCCCAGGAATGAGAAAACTCCCATGATGGTATACCATTTGCAAAAGAAGACAACCGAAGGTATTGCAAATGGGGTATGTTCAGTCTTTTTTGGTAGCCACTAAGTCACAAACACTAGCGTTCATAATTTATTTATTTTTTTCAAGAAAGCATTTATTGAATCATGGTGAGGAACATCAACAAGCAATGAGCAAGGTTGTCAGCAACCATTGTAGAGGTATAACAAAGTACATAATATAAAATACATAATGTAGGTATGAGATAGAAGCACATTGTCACGTCATGTGACACACAGCGCGTTGTTGTTTTGTATCATATGGTGAGACAATACTCCACGCTGATAGGAATCGTAGATTCGTTACATAGTACCAACTGCATGGTTGGACTCATAGGACAGTCTTGTGGCATATAATTTACAACAAATTATTGTTTGAGTCCTTATGGTCATGCAGGATACAGTAGGGTCGGATGGTTTCTAACATCTCTGGTGACCAGTAGTTTGGTTGCTCATTGGCAGGTGGAGAATCGGTAAGGGTAGTGGAGAGGTGAAGTGGTATTAATTGGGAATGGGGATAGGAAGATCCCCTCGTCTGAAGGTTTGCGCAGTATATCTTGTCTGTCTATGGTATCGAGTAGCGTGGCATCAGAAAGTTGTGTGGTCCACCAGTGTGGGTGTATGTATGTCCTGACGAGAGTTGGGGAGAGGCTTTGGTTTGGGGGGACGACGACATTTTTTTGCATTTTTAACACACAAACAAATATAAATGCTAACTTTGGCCAGTGTTTGTGACTAAGTGTCTACTAAAAAAGACTGCACATACCCCATATTGAATACCCTGGGTTGTCTACTTTAAAAAAATATATTGTTTAATAGGGGTGAATTACATTGGCTA